CATCTGGTCCAGGGCTTTTTTTTTCTTTGTAGGTAGTTTTCTTATGACATAGTTGATTTCCTGGGTTGTTATTGGTCTATTTAGGGTCTCGATTTCTTCTTGCTTTAACCTGGGGAGGTTGTGTGATGTCAGAAAGTCCTCCATTTCCTTTAGTTTTTCAAGTTTGCTTCCATACATGTGTATGTAGTAGTTTCTGATAACCTTTGTATTTCTTTGGGATCATTTGTGACTTGATCTTTTGCGTTTCTCATTGTGTTTATTTGGACTTTTTTCTTTCTTTTTCTTGGTCAGTCTAGCTAGGGGTCCATCAATCTTGTTTATTCTTTCAAAGAACCAGCTTTTTGTTTCACTGATTTTTTTGTATTATATTTTTGTCTTCTATGTCCAAAATTTGGGCTTTTATTTTGGTGATCTAGATTCTTCTGCTGAAGTTAGGGTTTTGGTGGTCTTGCTCTTCCAGCTTCCTTAGGTGATTTGTTTGGCTGTTAACTTGTGATCTTTCCATTTTCTTCATGTGTGTTCATAGAGATATGAATTCCCCTCTTTGTACCATTTTCATGGCATCCCAGAGGTTTTGGTAAGATGTATCTTCATTTTCATTTGTTTCCGAGTATCCTTTAATCTCTGTTTTGATTTCCATGTTGACCCAGGAGTTTCTTTTTTACATCATGGATTTAGTGTCCATGTCTTTGTGGGTTTTGAGGGGAATTTGATGGTGTTGATATTTATTTTCATTCCACTGTGGTCTGAGAAGGTCCATGGCAGTCTTTCAATCTTATGAAATGTTTATGCTTGATTTGTGGCAGAAGATGTGGTTGATCTTTGAGTATGGTCCATGTGGTGATGAGTAGAATGTATATTCCATGGTTGTTGGGTAGAGTGTTCTGTAGGTTTCAATTAAGTCCATTTGGTCAAGTGTCATGTTGAGGTTCTAATCTCCTGGAGTTTTAACTTACATACGGTATTCTGCAACAAAGTCAAGGGATGCAGCATACTTCTGATGCTCATTTTCTGAATGACTATCTCCTGCTATAATCTTCTCCACGAATTAAAGCTACCCTGACTTCCATGAACTCCAGTCTTTGTCTCCTCAATTCATTAAGACCATTGTGTTGTAAATTAGCTCCAGGAAGAAAGCCAGTATGATTGTGGTTCTCAGCTGTTTTATTTTTTTTCTTGAAGCAATCACAGTCATGAACTGCCTGTTGTCCAATGTCTTTAAAGTGGTGTGTTTTATTTTCCAATATTTCATTCAGTTGTCCAGTTGTTTACGGTGGGAGTGTCAGGCAGCTTCCAGTTACTCCATCATGATAGAAACATTTTCAAATAATTTTTAGACTTCATCTGGAATAAAATCCTTGTGAAGTATGAAGGAGTTATAATTAAAGCATCCAGTCAATGCTTGGCACATGGGAGGCATATATTTAATACTAGATATTAGGATTATAGTCATTGTCATTAATACCTTGTAGACTTTATCAACCCAAGGATTGACTAACAGTAGAGACATTGTATGTTTTTGTCTTTTTGCATTTTCTAATTTATCTGAATAAAGCATATAGACTTAGTCAGTATGCTTATAAATTTGCATAAGTACTACAAAATGTGATAGCTACTATGCATGTAGATACAGCTTCTTAGAAAAAAGTTGTAAAAGATTTAAGGTTCAGACCCTGATTGCAGTCTTAGTCAAGTAGAAGTTTTATTTTGTATTCCCTTCATAAATGTTTTGCAAGAACATCTGTAATTTTAAGAATAATTATTTTTTTCCCTAACTCAATTTTTTTTAAAGTGAGAAAGCAGGATTTATTGAGAGGACAGAAAAGCTCCCACAGTGGGAGGGAACCCAAAGGGGCTGCCCCTCAAATTTCAAATAAGTAAGCAAGTCAACTAAAAAGTCAGCTGTCTCAGGCCAGCAAAAGTATAAAGATTTATTTAGCTAACTATTAGTAAAGAAAGATAATACTGTATAAAATACCTCTTTTATTAAAATAAGCTAAGATGCATATTGATTAAAAATAGAATGTTTGGGGCATTGAAATATTTATAAAAACATAATGCTTTTCATATGAGAAAACATAAATTAAGCCAAACTTGCTTTCTATAATTCATAATGAATCTTCAAACACTTTGCATAAGACTGATAGCAAAAAGTATGGTTACTGTAAGGCAGAGAACAGCAGAGAAGAATGTCTTCTGGTTGAAAATTCCCTTGAGTGGCTCCATCACAGAGTCACCCCATGTTTCTACTGTCATCTAGCATGGACACAGTGAAGGCCTCACACTGAGAGCTAGTTGAGGAATAACTGATTCAACCTGATGCAAAGAAAGTGCTAATCTATAAAATATACCATTAGAGTGAATCTAAAGGTATCTGAGAATTGTGCATCACCCCGGGATTCTGCCAGAGCACATATGCTGCAGAAATAGCTGCCAGCTAATAGGGCCCCCGACGGATATGGAGTTTATATCATTAATTTATGTCACTTAATTCCCAGTGCAGTTCTAAAAACACTGTGATGGTGAAAACCAGAATGGGTTAGGTTTGGCAACTTTTTGGGCCCAGTTTTTACAATTGTGGGTCTTAGATATACTATATTTGATAAATATCTGCATGAAATCTTCATCCTATTTCTTCCTACTTACCAAATATTTTCAATCTAGTGGGTCCCAACAACAGACAATTCTAGGGATCTTGGACTTCTCCTAACTATATTAGAACTTCTTACTGATCTAAGATCTAATACGTGCACAAGGGCTGCTCTGGACCCTGAATTTGATGTTCAGCTCCTTGGAGAAGCTCTGGACCAGAGTGGTCCTGGATGAACTGAACTGACAGCTCTATGAATACATAGAGCTTAGGGAGTTAGAAGGACATTGACATTGGACTTCATGGAGCAGAGTGGGTGTTTTGCCAGACTGTAGAAACAGGGAAAAAATCAGACCATTTCTGTAGCCATTGCTATAAAGGTAACAGGGCATCACATTTCAGCATTCAGATTGCTAGCTATAGAAACCTATTGTTTAGTAAATACCTCAATTAAGCTTGTCTTCCTAAACGACTGGAAAGTAGTACTGATGTGTATATTTGTCAAGGTCCTTGATTTCATCCTTTAATGTTTCTCAGCACATTCTTTTTTTTTTCATAATAAAATATTTTTTATTATGGTTTTGTGGGGTACAGTTAAGGGTTAGGTGTACAATTATGTTTCATTCAGGCACCCTGTTGATAAGAGGTGTTTCCCCATCCCCAGACAGATATTTGCTACTGTTAATCCCATCTCCCCCCCCCCATAGTTTCCCAGTACTGTCAGTCATTTTCTTATAGTATTACATTGGATGTTCAAGGTCCATTATATGAGTGAGAACATGTCAGCACATTCTTATTTGTGTCTTTTCAACTAGTCTACCATATAACGCCATTTGTAATAGTTTAGTCTATGCCCTTTTCTACTCAGAGTGATTGCCCCATTAATAGAAAGACAAGCTTTGAACTAGGTTAGTAAGAGGCAATCAATTTCATGTTTTTTCTGTTGATGTAAGTGATTATACTTATTGCAGGAAACAAATTCACTTAAACACTACTGAATTATAATCAACCTAGTAGGACCTAATCAACTTAGTAGTAAATTTCTGTTTAGCAGATTTTATTTAAAAATAAAATAGTCAGATGCCAGGTACAGAAGGAGTATTAAATGAAACATACATGAAATATTTTAGTATGAGATTCCTCCTCTGAAATGGTCTGTGAGTGACATACAGTGATTTTATAACTGTGTGGTAAACCAATAGCAGATAGAAAGGCAATTTAATGCTAATTAAGTGAGTCCAGAAGTAATTACCTGAGTATACAATAAAATATTACCTTTTGAAAATGGACAAAATATTTGATTTTGCTTTAGTCTAGGATTGCTAGGATTTTTATTTTCTTATCACTTTCTACATTTAGCTAAGCAAATAGGGGCTCATTTTGAAAATTTCTTTTTTTTATTTGCAAACTTTTGAGAAAAGAGTGCCTCAATTTAAAGTGTCCTCTTCAGCTTTGATGAGATAATTTTAAATTTAAGAAGTGTACTTATTTTGTATTGACTCAATAGTGGTGGCTTCAAAATCATTTTAATATGGCTTTGTTAGTGTAACTTTTGATAACAAGCTATTTCTTATAAATTGATGTTGGGATTACTGTGACTTTGGCCTTGTGTTCTGGTTTGTAACTTTATATCAGGTTTTTTCTGAGGCAGGCAAGGATACCCTGAATAGTTGGGTCTAGGCAGGGTCAGGAGCTCAGGATCACTTTTTTTTATTATGGAAGAATCTCAGATGAGCAGATGTGAGCTTCCTTGGGTCAACATTTCCCAGGACGATTAGGTCAGATTTAGGCTAACCCCAGATTTCACAACTTCTCTCCTTAGGTGGGCCTGATGCTCTTCCTGAGCATTTCAGGTCCCACCTTCTCCCAAGCAAAAGAACATCCAGAGGTTTGGAAAGTGCAGTAAAGTTTCATAATTGACTTAGACAAGGCACACAGCTATGTCCTAGAACTTTCCAGAAAAGAATCAAATGTCCAGTCTCAGTCTCACACACTCAAATGCTTGACCACAGAATAATCATAAACTATAAGTTTTCTGCTTTCGAAGTTTCACAAAAATAAATAACAAGATCCAGCTGATGAAATCCGAAATAAAATAGACTTCTTTAATAAAATCAGGACCCCAAGTTTATTTTTCTCATCAACCTGGAAAGGTTTATTCAGATATAGGAATTAGTTTCACTTAACTAGTTAAATAGACTAAAGGAAGGATTCTTTTTACCAAAGCTATTTTTTTTTCTTTTTGCTTAAGCAAAAGATCCCTTGTCTGGAATTTTCTGAGAGTTCTGCACTTTATACAAACAGCAGATTGGACTCCATTGCTGGAGGACATGACCCCTAGCCTTGGATCTTTGTTTTGCCAGAGAAATGATGGGGGAAGTTTCACCACTGTTTTTCCTTATTTCCTTAGGTGAAGAGTGCGACATTGACATAAATGAATGTGACAGTAACCCCTGCCATCATGCTGGGACCTGCCTGGACCAGCCCAATGGTTATACCTGCCACTGCCCACACGGCTGGGTGGGAGCTAATTGTGAGATTCGTAAGTATTTCTGCAACTTATTTAACATTTACTTAACACTGTTATTTAAGTATTTTCTTTCAGCAAGAAGAGGATGCTTGCTGGCTGTGACCGGAAATCTCCCACACCTTACTGGCAGATGAAACAGTGAGGTCCAGAAGGACAACTTGAGCTACTCTTGCCTCATTTTAGTGCTCAGCACCCAGCTTAGTACATTTACCCCTCACATGATGCTTCCCCCACTCCTTCCTGAATCTGAATCCACCCTTTACACCGGGAAGAGAATTTTCAGATGTCATCCAGAGTTCATTGCTTCTCATGCAGCCAAAAATGAGCCTCACGGAGAAGCATTAGAATCATATATATATAAAATAGAGTCTTTGTGTTGAAAAGTTTTTAAAAAGCACAGAGATTGTAAATTCACCTTTCATTTATGTCTTCAAGTGTCTTCAAATATATTAGGTTTTATCCATTGCCTGGAGAAAGGCTGGTGAGGAAGAGCTTGAAAGAAAAGCTGAAAATCATTTTGGGTTGCTTTGAGCTAAGTGTTCTCTTATGATGACCTAACAGAAGTTTGAAAATGTCATAATCAAGATTTTATATATTAACAGATGTTATCTACTAAGATTGAAATGAAAATGAGAGCTGATGTGGATTTAGGTTTTCAGTTGTTTTGGAACCTGTTAAAGATTCAGCTTTGAAAGGTACTTTTTTCTTATTTAAATTCATCAGGGCAGTTTGATTTTTCACAGCAGAAGAAAACTAACCATGCTGGTTGGGAAACTGCCTCCTCCCCATTCCAGATTGCTGCTTTTGATGGGAATGTTTCATAAGAGCTCCCTCCTGGGCCCTCTTACCCTTCCTTTATTCCTCAACAGATAAGGACAACTTATCTGTTGGATGAGTCTAGCTGGAGGCACATCAAGATACACAGGCCTGTCTGCCTGCCTGTCTGTCTTGGACTGACCTCCATGCTGTGTTACAAGATTGGGCCCTCACTAGTGACCCAGCAATGCCTATAGCTGAATGAGGCTGTCTAATTCTCAGTGCATGTTTAAGGTGGGAAGTGGCCACCTCAGTAAGGAAATTCTCTTGTCCAAATGTGAACCACATTCTCCAACATCAACTTGACAAAACTGAAGATACTATTTGGCCTCTGATCGGCTCGTTCTTTGTTTTCTCTCTTGGTTCATGACCAGAGAAGGAAGAGAGTAGTTATTGGTAGGCCTCTACCTTAACCTTTTCAAATGCTCTCATGTAGAATGGTCTTAGAACCAACTTGCTAAAGATGGATGAGAACTACTCCCTTGTTGAAGAGAGAAACAAAGCACAGGGAGATATTCTGATGATAAAAATACCAAGGGACTGCATTTAAGTCAAGTATAGTGTAATCTGTTGGGAGAAAGGATCTGACGTGAGTAAACAGGACCTTGTATCACTACATTTAGTTGTGGTGAGCCTCAGGTTACTTATCCATAAAATGGAACTTTTTTCATTCTAAAATTTGATAATTCTATGAAATGACAAATTTTGTACCCTTAGAGCAGAATAATATCTATGTATAACTTTTACAATTGTATTCATAAAGATAAATTATAGCAGAGTATGGAGAAGAGGGAAAGTCAGGAACAAACAGGGTGTCATTAATAAATTTTAAAGTAAAGTCCTATCATGTAAAAAATCGAAAATTTACTTTCTTCTGGTGATGATAATATAGGTAAAAAATATACTAGGCTGGAATAACAGAAAGTATCAAGGTTGGCTTCAAATTCCTGCTCTATCACTTTCTGGTTATATAACTTGTACAACAAATTTACTTCTGGGAGCCTTGTCTTTTTCACTTGGTAATAGGAAGACTTCCTATGCAGGTTGCTGTGAAGGTTAATTGAGGCAACAATGTACCGCTTTCTGCTGTGTAGTAGGCACTAAATAAATGTTGGCTGTACTTTCTCTTTCTTACTTCACTACCGTAGCTCTTAGACTATGAGCTACTCTTGGGGAAGACTAACCTCCAGCAGTTGTTCTTTTAGATGCCACCTACCACCCAGGACAAGGACCATTCTGAGTGGTTGGGTATGATGGAGCCCATCACATTTCTCAGTCAACAGCTGGGTTCTCTATTTACTTACTCTAGCATTTTCTAGCATTAAAATAAACTCCATCACAAATTAAGCTCTACTGAGGCCTCACATTGGGTGTTCCCCCCTTACCCTGAGTTTAAGGAATGGAGATGATGCACATGAGGTCTGCAGATGACGTGTAGCAAGAGCCAGTGGCAGGTGTCAGAGAATTGGATATGAATCAACAGAATAGATTCTATGATCAGGGGTGGAAGCAGATTCTGGACAGTTGGTGGGTAGAGGAGCTGTAAGAGGCCTTCAGGCCTGGGTGAACTGTGGGACCCATGGCCTCTGAGGTCTCTTTCTAATCCTGTGACACTCTGAAGTGGCCAGAAACCAAGAGGAGGACACCTGGATGGCACAAGGCTCAGTTGGTAGATCTAAACAGGAAAGCTCAGATGTAAGGGGAGAACCACATGGTATTGGAAGGCTACTAGATTATCTCCTTAACCTGATCCCTGACTTTGGAGGGCACATTGCCTGCCTCCCTTTCTTGCTCATTCTGTTTCAGACACACTGTCTTTCTTCCTCTTCCTTGAACAGGTCACATTTATCCCTGTCTTCAGGGCTTTTGCCCATGCTGTGACCTGTGCCTGGAGCGCCTTTCCTTCAGATTTTAGTATAGAAACTGCCTTCTTTTCATTTAGGTCTCAGTTCAAAAGTGCCTTCTCTGGCCATCTGTATTATATTCCTGTTGCCACTGTAACAAATGACCATGAATTGAGTAGCTTAAAACAACAACACAGATTTGTCATCTCACAGTTCCAAAGAGCAGAAGTCCAATATGGGTCTCACTAGGCTAAAATCAAGGATACCAGCAGGGCTGTCTTTCTATTAAATGCTCTAGGAGAGAACCAGTCTCCTTTCCTTTTCCAACCTCCGGGCTACCCATATTCCTTGACTCATGGTCCCTTCCTTCTTCCTCAAAGCCAGAAATTGCATCACTCTGACCTCTGTTTTCATTCTCATAGCTCTGTCTTCAACTGTCTCTTTCTTTCACTTAAAAGGATGTTTGTGGTTGCATTGAGCTCACCTGGATAATCCAGGATAATCTCTGCATCTCAAGACCCTCAATTTAATCACACCTGCACAGTCCCTTTTGCCATATAAGTAACACATTCACAGATACTGGGGATTAGGAGGTGAACTTCTTTGGGAGACCCTTATTTTGCCCATCATACCACCCTAACAATTGTGTCTCATTCCTCCCCCTATTTATTCTTAAAAATTAAAATATTTGGGGATGATTTAGAGTCAATTTTGTCTCTAACATCATCCTTACCATCGTGATGAGTATTTGCAGAAGCATGATGTACAGCAATTGAAGGTGAGGATGTGGTGGATAGAATGAGTGCCGCTCTTGAGGACAGGGGCCTGGATTCCAGGCCTGAGTCTCCAGCCACCTAACCAACTGCAAGACAGAAGGAAGGTCAGTTCATTTTCTGGGACTCAGCTTCTTCATTCATGAAATGAGGGATTAAATGACTTGATTCGTGTTCTTTCTTCCAGCATTATAGGATTCTTTCTCAAAATAGTATCATACTATGTCAGGAAACACAAATTATAAGGCAGATACTTATTGTCTTTTTAAAAAAAACAAACACCACAAACCATTCACTATTGCACGTGGGAAAAATTTCAGTATGAAATGTGTATGGGATACTCACAAGTACACATTTTGCACACGCTGAAAACTGAGCCTCCTTCAGTAATGGGCCCTACATGTGGAAATGTACTTTCTCATCAGTCATCACTAGAAATCCTGAAATCACAGTAGGATTTACATATAAATGAATACCATTTTAGCTGTTCTGTAGTTACCGTCCATGCCCTGGGTTTACCCCAATAATAAGATACAGAAATTTATCAAAACCATCAAGAAAATGGATTCAGGACCATCCTAATAGAATCATTCAGCTATAATAATGTTTGATATATTTGTTAAGGCAAATGCAACCCCAAAGTTCTGGAAATTAGCAGTGCAACACTGGTGAGGTTTTAACTCTCCGTCACTCATTCTTATCACCCTAGGACTGATCACACATATGGGGGGGCCCCCAAAACCTGAAATTTATTTAATTAAAAAAATGTGTATTTATTCTTACATGCTCAGACTTACCTTCTCCGTTTGATACAATATACCTATTGAGACTCTTTCTTCAACTGCTCAAAACAATTTTTGAACTTGTCGATTTTGATGCCTTTTATTGCTTCTGTTTTTTATTTCACCTCTTCCACATCAGCAAAACGTTTCCCAGAACAGTTGCTCAGGTGAGATTGGGTAAATAGGGAGATTAGGACACAGGAGTCATGCCATTTTGGGTCAAAAACTGCTGAACACTCCGCATGGTGTGGGCAGGTGCATTATCATGGTGGAAGAACCAGTGACTGCCACAGAACAATTCACTGAAGCCATATGCGGCCCCTCACAACAACGCTAGCTGGTACACTGAGGCAGATGGGTTCCTAGAACACTCACCTAGCGGGGGAAGCCTGTACTACAAGGGGCCGACCTGCCAAAAGATAATTTCAGTTTTGGGGGGGCCTGCCTCCTATTTTTGTATTTTAATAAAGAGAAAACATGCCTTCCTAGAGTCAAGGTCTAAAATTCAAAATTCTTATAAATCTCTATGTAGTGGTGTGTTTTATTTATGTTGGAACATAAGTTTTATACTAGCTGGAGCTGCTGCCAACCTTGCTGATTGACAGTTGGCCAATTGTGTACATTGAACGGATGAATCTATGGTTAAACTACTGGATTGATGATATTATACAATTGAGAAATAGATAGGCTATCTTGGACTCATGTAGTCATTCAGTAATCAATGGCTCTTTGTTGTTGGGCATTGAACATAGTACCTGGGATATAAAGATTAGTGAAATAGCTCCTGCCTTCAGAAA